CACCTTTTCTGAAAAGTGGAGCAGGCAGAAGGACTTTTCTCTTCATTGGGGGGTTTGTCGACAGACTAGAGACACATGTTAGAGTTAGAGGAACATGGAGAAGTGGATTTTGAATAATATGTGACCTTTAACTGACATTTTAAATAACTGACTTCACATTAAAGGCAGCACAGCTTTATGTATATTACGAGCCTGCTGTGAGACTTCATTAAAAGTCATTGATCATCATGTGTACGTTTCCTTTATGTTTTTATGAAAACATTATGGGTACAATCTTTAGAGCTCTGTTGATGCTGTATCGATGTTCACACTTCAACACTTCCCCTTCAGTTCTCAGAAACAATTAATGTACCAGAAAGAGGAACAAGCATTTCATCAAACCAGTCTTCTGAACTGTCAAAGGAATCACATTCTGAAGAGTTCATTTATTTTTATTTAGTGTTTTAAAGTCGTTAAGTAAAGATTTGTTTTTAAGATCTTTACTTAAAGAGTGTGGGTAGAAAACTTCTCAGGGTCATAAAAGGAAGTCTCCGCTACCACAGGAAGTTGATTCTCTAAGCCTCTTGAAGAAACGCTTTTTAAGGAAGTTACACATAGAAAAGCACGACAACAAGAGGACGAGATAAAGATGCATCAACTCAGAAGGACAAAACTGTCTTTAATTGTGATACTCATGCTGCTGGTTACAGGTAGGAATTTGCTGTTTGCTCTGAATATTGAGTGATGTTGAGTGAATTTCATTACGTTTTATTACATTTTCAAACATTACAGTTTATAATACATAAAAACATTGATTGTTTAGTATTCATCACATATCTTAATTTCTGTTGTTTGTTGCACTTTTATTCTCTTACAAAAGTATAAACAAATAAAAAAGTACAAATTCCTTTTCAATTTTTTAAAATATATTTCTCTTTGATCTTCATCAGCTGTAACTGGAGATGATACCGCCTCCCTCACAGTCAGACTTGGACATGATGTCACTTTGCCATGTGGAAATGTGATTAAAGATCAGCAGAAATGTGACAGTCCTTCTTGGCTTTTCAGTCGTTATAGTAGGAGCACAGCAGGAGAGCTGGTTACACTCGGGAATATAAGTAAAAATGAGAAAGCTAAAGCTAAAGCTAAGAGGCTAAATGTTTCAGAGGATTGTTCTCTGGTTATTAAAAGTGTCACACGTGAAGATGTTGGTCGTTACACCTGCAGACAGATCAGATCAGGAGTACAACATGGTCCAGATACTTGTGTGTTGCTGAATGTTGTTTACACTAAGTGTTGCCTCATAATCATTACAATTTAAACAGAATAGTATCCTGAAACATGTTATTATGTATGAACAAGGTGTGGAAGTTAAACTTACTCTTGTGTTCTCTCTCTCACGATATCTTCAACAGTTGACTCGTTTGTTACCTTCAGGTTTTACTGCTCTGTGTTCAGTTATGGCGTCTGTGCCCACACAGTGCAGTGGGATTATAAGGGTGATGAGACAGATAGATCAGGACACTAACAGTTAACCTGTACAGCCGTTGTGATCTTTACAACTCCTCATGTTGTTCAGAAGTCAAGAAGTTGCTGTATTGTAACGTGACAGAAAACAAGAGTGGACAAACACTGCTGTGTAATGTCGACCCCGGGTCATCATGTGAGAAAACAGGTACAGTTTTCAAGTAAACACACTTCTTCTTCTTTTATTAGTGTGACTCCAGTTGGTTAAAGTGATGGATGTCATCTTTATTTTTCTTTCTTGATATCATCTTCAACAAATGAGAAGGAAGCACATCAGCAGGAGGAAACGAGATAACGGAGGACGAAACTCTGAAGAAACCAGGTAGAGTACAGACCACAGTCACACAGCGGCCATTTTCCTGTGATGTCACACTCAGGCTGGTGTAAATGATATCACGTTGTACTGCTTTGTTCAGTGAAGCTCTCAATTCAAATCAATTCAGTCAGCTTTATTGGCATGAATGTGAAAATATCTCCATGGCTTATAAGAACAAATACGACAAAAATAATAACTACTACAAGAGAAATCATCATATATATGAATAAACAACTCAAATATAACATTTAAATATCTAAATTACAATGGGGAAGCAGAGAGGACTCCCATGATTCTCTGCCAGCCTCAACTTCATCTTTAGTCATTGTTTTGATTGAGAGCCCCCTGGTGACAGAATTTGCGTACTGTGCCTTAAAACGATACACCATGACAACCAGAGGACTTTAAACCTACTAGGAGCTTGGTGTAAGGTTTAAGTTGTGATGTCTGCCCACGTTGGAACTATCTTCAGCTCGTGTAAAAACATTAAAAGTGCTGATCCTGACTTTGAATTGAACAATCACTGCAGTTTAAATGATTTGAATGTTTTTATTCTCATTTTCAGGTTGGATCAGGTTCATCATTGTGTCTGTGGGACTGGCAGTACTCATAATCATTTTTGTGACGATCAGCATATGGGTGAGAACGAAAGGTGAGAAACCTTTTAAAATGATATTAGTTTGACTTGGTTTACAATGTGAAAACTAAATTTTACTCTTTTGTCTTTACAGAGAAGAAAACGCAGATGGATCACAATGCTGTGAGTTAAAAAACTAAATAATCAGAAGTTTGTTTTTCAGATATTTCAGAGATAACTGTTCTTTAAATAGAGTAAAACTACAGTTTTTAAATCTAAGAGGCTG